AGAGACAGATATATATATATATATATATTAACTACCAAAAGTTAAAAGAAAAGAAGCTTGTTATTTTTATTGAATTTAATCTTGAATGTTCTAATGTTTCTTAATTCATTTAAAAAAAAATATTTTAAATACAAAAGAATTTGTTTCTGTATTAGTTTCAACAAAGAGGTTTCTGTAATATGGGAGAAATTGTTTTTTTTTTTGTTTTTTTTTTTGTTCTTGTTTTCAAAATGTCTATCTACTTTAAAATTTTGATTTTTAATTGTGTATAGAAGATGAATGCGCATGTTTTTTTGTACGCAAGCTTGTCTTTGAGTCGGGTTAACTTCTGTCTCTTATACACATCTTCAATGGTCACGCTTCATTGGAATCTATCAATTTTCTAACTATGGATCATATATGACCTATCGGTAACCTGGCTTTTGTTTACTTAGGGTCAACATCCTAACTTTGATATTTAATTCAAGGTCTGCAAAAGAGAATCATAAATTATGACCATCAGTAAAAGAATAAAATTTAGGGAATTTTATTTAGCATAAGAATATTAAGTTTCCGCAACTAGCTGAAATCATTATCCCCAAAATTATGTGAATACAGTATTATATATTAGGAATCTAATTAAATATTCCGTTTTCAGTCATTTACTAACTATAAAATTTCTTTTGTTGCGTGAAAAAATTGTCTGCAGCCTTTTGCTAACAAGGTGAGTATCAGTACCATTTGACCATAAAGTAATCCTCCATAATATTATTATAGATCTCTATCTTATAGGTACAAATCTAACCCATATGCACTTACATTGGCCTAAGCCTATATATAATATAATATAGACACAGAGGCTTACTTTACTAGTTATGCACTTGTCAATGGTAGTTCTGGCCCCTAGGACCCGGGCCTAGCGGGGACTTAGCTGGGGATGTAAATTTCGAAAAAGAATGTGTATTGATTGATTCATCATAGAAAAAGAAAATTGATTGATTGATTCAACTGATGGATAGAATTTATTCATTATCGAAACAGAAATTAAATAAGAAATTAATACATTTAGTAGAAAGAGATTTCCTTGCCTTGGCTTTTTAACATAAACTAGTTCAAATACATGGTTCACACACATACAACATGCCCACGTCACCTTGGTCCTCATCATTCTGTGGTTGGAGGTTTGAATTTTATTATGTAATTTATACCGTGATCTATAAAAAATGAAACCATGATGGTAGGCCTAGAGTACCGGTAGGCGAATTTTCAATTACCAAAACACACAGCAATTGCTGAATGCCTATATTGTAGGCTAGGACTAGGTAGGAGCATCCGGTTTGACAGCACTACACCCAAAACCTCGGCTACTCTAACATGCAAATTTCCTGGGTCCTTTCGATGCTGGTTACATCTATGGGTGAATTTTAGGTACGTCCCGGCACTAAGCAGGGACACAACTATGTGTATGTCCCCGGCTCAGTCCCGGCTAGAGCCCCGCTATGGCCGGGTCTGGGGGTGGGGCCTGGGAATACAAACAATTGACAATGTGCATTAGGCCCTATAAAAAATATTATTAGTTTACCACCCTATCTAGGCTGAAAAAGTGATGAGGGAGGGAGGGAGGTTTTTTAATTTTATTTTGCTAAAGCCAAGTACTTGTATCATCTTTGGGTTGTTTCTGGTGCATTGATATTCAAATTTAAAAAAACATGACTGAGGTAATACAAACAACATCTACTATTATTATTTAATTTTTTTTTAAATGAAAAAAAAATTGTTTAAAAAAATAAATATTATTATTTTCTTTTTAGTAATAGGGCTTGGCCTATTATAGAAGACATGTGCACATGGGTAATACATTTTTTTATTGGGCCTTACAGTAGGCCTAGATAAACACAAATTGAGAACAAAGGTGATCACCTGAAAAAAGGATAACAATTAAAATTGTCAAGGATTATTATTATTCAACAAATTAGTACTGTTGTAGAACAAATTATATTATATTGACAATATTAACAATTTAATAATAGGCCTCTAGGCCAAGGCCCTCATTCTTTGGAAAGTTTATTTAGTTGGCTGTCGAGACAAAATTAACATTTATCTAGGCCCTAGGCCCAGGCCTAGGATAGGCCTAGCTAGGCCCTAGCTTTATTTAGATTAATTCAGGCCTGGTAAGCAAATGAATTGCAAGATTATAAGAAAATACTATCTCTTGACTTCCTAATCCTCGATCCACTTCACATAGAATTGGCCTTTTGGTTCGGGATGAAAAGATCATCAATGTGAAACCGTGCGTAACGCGTAGGCATACTTTTCACACCAACAAATCCCTCAACCACTACCAAACCACCGCCACCTCTCTATCTCTCTCTCCTGCTGCTGACACAGTCAGACATCACACGACAACCGAGCCTACCTGTTGGCTGGAGGAAATCACTCCAAAAAGGCAGACAATTAACATATGCAGGCGCAAAATCTGAGAACAGTTCCAACAGAGCCACATTGTTCCGCCGTTCCACCTTCAATTTTCTAAAATGAAGTGGCAGACATACTTATAAGACGTATTTATTAGTCGGATTTTAAATCCTATCATCTTCGCACTTCATCCTTCGCACTTTGTCGCGCGCGGTCCAACCATGAACTTCTTCAAAAACTTTCAAATGCAATATAAAATTGAGGGCGCTATGATAATTTCTTTTTCATTTTGGGAAGGTTCTTAATTATTTTTGCTATTACTGAGTTTTCATTGCTTCAAAGATGAAAAATGAAAAAGCGTTCAAGATCAGCTTTAGATAGGCCTGTATCTTGGACATCTACACACATACATCATAGCGTGTCCTTAACCTTACAAATGGTAAAGAATTATTTAAATAAAATCATATTAAACAATAAAGCACATCTTCTCTCTCTCTCTATGCCTAATAACAACTCCCTGCCTATAAAAAATATCTATGGAGTTTTCACTGTAGATAAAATACACTAATTTCATAATAATCTGAACTTGGTAAACATCCTTTAGCAAACACACGACAAAGATAAAACGATGCTGTGGCCAAGGGATTACCAAAAGTACACACTTGTCCTATCTCCACAGAACGGGGAATCTAGCAGACTGTAGGCCATTAATAAGCATTACAATACACAGAAAACCCAGATAGATCGACTGTCAAACAATTTAAGAACACACAGAAGTAATACGATCTATATTTTCGGTTAGACCAATTCCACTACACACCAGAGTCCGTCCACTTAGGATTAAGGCCTACATGAAAGTTACAATGAGGATTATAATCATTATACAGTAGTATTCAAATTGAAATTGGTCTACAATACTTTAAGACTTACTGAAAATAAACAAAATCAACTTTATCCGCTATAATCGCAGGTTCGGGGTTTTAGTGGGCCAGTTTCCTGGATCCACCTCTAGTCTACTCGGGCAGTACCTGGATTCGTTTCCAGTGAAGTGCGTTCCTCAAAAATAAATTTAACATATGCCCTTAGTTCGATAAGAGCGCGGCGCGATGTGTCTTGCATTACATTATTCATTGATAATATCTCTTCTCGATATACATTAATACGTGTCTAATAATGATAATAATAATAATAATAATAATAATAATAATAATAATAATAATAATAATAATAATAATAATAGTATCATTATCATTACTATTATTACAATAATCATAATATTCAAGTGTAAATTTACAATATTATTAACAAAGAAAAAATACGAAAAAAAATATTGATATATAATACATATTAATATAATCATATTCGAGTGTAATATTTACAATAGTACTGTATTAACAAAGAAATAATACGTAATATTAATAAATTAGAATATTAAATCACCTAAAATACTTGTCTTAAAAATAATGACATCACTACCACCACCAGCATACATGCCATCTAGTATGATCACCACTAGTCCTATTTGTTACGACTATATACTACCATAGGGGAAATGATAACAATGGAAAGGGGTAGAAATAATACCTTAAGGCGAAAATACTGCCGCTAAGGGGAAATTTTAACGACGTTAAGGAGAAATATAGACAAAGGATTTTCAGGATCAAGTTAACAAAATAATTAGTTGATTGGACTACAAAATATAACTTCAGTGACAAGTTAATGGGCGATTTAATAACAATTAAATCATGGTAAGATGTCGGCAAAATGATTATGTAAGCGATAGTTATTGGCGGTGCCATTGAACCAGCTTAATGCTAAGACTTATTTAACTACAGTAAACAATAACAGGAAATGAAACATAGTGAGATTAATATAAGGTCCTATATAATTGAAACAATTGTGGAATACAAAATAAATTGCAGAAATATAAATATAAAGTGTATATGTATGAGTTTAAATAATATAGCGCTTGATATGATGATGACTATTAAATAAAGTTTAGAAATCAATGAATATAATAAAATGAACATAGTAGAAATAATATATAGCATATTATTGTTAGATACTGTATTCATCATAGAGAAATATTGCGTATGAAGGCATAATCACATGTAGAGCCTAAGTCCTTATTTAGACCCTTAATGTGAGTTTTTAACTGGATTATCCATTTCATTTCTGCTTTACGTCGTTCTTATGTGGATTTAAAATTGCAACCTATTATTATAGCCCTAAAATCATTGATGGTGTGATTAGGTGAATTAAAATGTGCACTTACTGGGCAGTTGAGTTTATGTCTTATAGATGGTTTGTGGTTGTTCATTCTTAGATCTGAAAGTTAGACCAGTTTCGCCAACATAGTTTCCCTCGTTGCAGTATACGAGGTATATAATATTGGGCGAGTTACAATTCAGTCCTGGTGGCCGGATTGTTATTTGTGTTCCTGGTGGAGTGGATGAGCTGTCAATATTTATGATGTTGCATAATTGGCATCAAGAGCTGTTACATTGTGTGTTGCCATGTTTAGTGGAGGGGAGTTTAGATGAGGTTAAAGTGGACTATAAATTAGGGGGTTGCCTACGTGCTAGTAGAGGGGGCTGTAAAAATAATTCTTTAAATGATGGGTCTTCTTGGAGGGACAGGAAGTCTCTTTTAATTCTCTTAGACAGTTGCAGGATGCTGGGGCTATAGTCAAATACCATAGGTAGCCGATCATTGTTAAATTTAGGTCTATATGTGAGAAGATCAGTGCCAGATTTATGCGAGTCTTTTTTAATCTGGGTTTTTATAACATGTAATGGGTAGTTACTTGACATGAACTTGCCAGTGAGAAGAGATATGTGTTTGTTATAGTCAGATGAACATGAGCAGATTCGTTTGAGACGCAGGCATTGACTGTAGATGCGATCGTTTAAGTAGTCGAGGTATCGATTGTTGTCTGTGGGTTTTATGTGTACTGATCTAAATTTATAGATACGTCTAAGAATGGTAAATTGGACTAGAATGATCCATTGTGAACTTAATGCCCGAATGATACGAATTGCAGAGATTAAAAAATTCTCTAAGACTATCTAATCCGTGCTTCCAAATAAAAAATATATCAATATATCTAAAATAATATGATGTTTTCAATTCAAAACTCGATAACATCATGTTTTCGAGGTTAGCCATAAAAATGATGGCATAGCTGGGTGCCATCTTTGTACCATAGCAGTACCATTTTTTTTGCCTATAATGGCATCAATTAAATTCAAAATGATTATGGGTTAATATGAATTCAATCATTGTAGATATATCACTGATAGGTTGTAATAGAGCATAGGTGCGAAGAAATTCTTCGCAAGCAGCAATACCTTCATTGTGAGGAATGTTCGTATAAAATGAGCAAACGTCCATAGTGACTAGTAATGTGTCCGGTTTCAAATTAGAAATAGAGTTTAAATTTCTCAAAAAGTCTGTCGTATGGTTCAATGGCACCGCCAATAAACTATCGCTTACATAATCATTTTGCCGACATCTTATCATGGTTTAATTGTTATTAAATCGCCCATTAACTTGTCATTGAAGTTATATTTTGTAGTCCAATTAACTAATTGTTTTTGTTAACTTGATCCTGATTGGTTAATACCATTTATTATTCTTTATATATGTGCAAGATCTCCAAAGTAAAGCAGGAGCTATCGAAATATCCGTTTGATTTTGTTAGAGCTTAATAAATTTGTGTTCTGCAAGTCAACCTTCAATGATTGTACACCGTTTTTTCATTGCTTTTGCATTTTATATAGCAATAAATAAATAAATATATATATATATTAACTTAAATAACTTAAAATGTTATTTTAAGTTATTTAAAACAATAAATTGCAGCACATTACTGAGATAATGAGAGCACTTGATTACGATTGTTACTTAGGACACTGCACATGAACTCATCCTGATGCTTAAAAATACTTGAGCAGCCATTTAATTTATTGTTGTTATAGGGACAAAAAGGAAAAGGTACAATTAAGGTCTGTCGTATCAGTCATACTTAAGCAACAATTTAAATTAATTTAAGCTGGACATCAACACTCGCCACAACAATCATCACCATCATCGTTTTAACATCAACATGTTCATCAATTTACTGCCTATTTTATAACGCTATATGCAATTAATAATTATTATAACTTGGGTATTGTTTGTTATTTTCCAACGTGGCCTACTAATTAATCATGAAGATGCGACTGGTTGGTTGAATTTAATTGGTAACCATACCATGAATCAATTGAATAACTTTTATACCGCCAAGTTCTATCACATATGTAATGTAGGGCCTAAACAAATAAATTGTTTGCCTTACTTTTTAAAAATAAAAAGGAGTGGGTGGAAAATTGGGGGTTTTTTAAAGATTACTCATCAGATGGAAAAAACATAACCCACAGTTGACATTTTTGTTGTGCCACTCCAATTTCTTTTCAGTGATATATGGGTGGGTGAGGAGGTCAAACATTTTTTTTTTGCCTAATGTTTGGTGACGCTGGATTATGTTGGTATGAAGATGTAACAAACTGATTGGTTGGATGGACATATTAATCATGCAGATGTGATTGGTTGGATTAAATAATAATTAATAATAATTTATTTGGATATGCACTTTTTGAATAAGTGGCACTAGGTATCACTCAACCACAAGGGTGGTGCATCCTAAAAACAAGATAGATTTAAATTTTAAAAGATGCAAATGGTTGGTTGGATGGACTTGGTAATCCTGCACATGTGATTGGTTTGTTGACTTGCTTATTAAGATGCAACTGTTTGGTTGGATGGACTTAGTAGTCCTGAAGATGTGATTGGTTAGATGAGTTGCTTATTAATGAAGATACGACTGGTTGCTTGGATGTACTTAATTAGTATTCACGAATATGTGATTTGTCAGACTTGCTTATATGTATCATGTAATCCTGCACATGTGATTATTAGTTGCTTGACTTTGCAACTGTTTGGTTGGATGGACTTAGTAATCCTGCACATGTGATTGGTTGGTTGACTTGCTTATTAAGATGCAACTAGTTGGTTGGATGGACTTAGTAGTCCTGCACATGTGATTGGTTGGATTAATGAAGATGCGACTGGTTGCTGGAATGCACTTAATTAGTAATCACGAAGATGTGATTTGTCAGACTTGCTTATATGTATCATGTCATTACAATTAAGTGAGGGAGGGGAGTCAGCTTCCCCCTCCCATCCCCCTCCCATAGGTACACCACTGGAAACAACAATACCTGCTAGCCACAAAATCTAGCATGTGGGTAGGCAAAATGTAGGTAAGGGCCTTCCAAGCATTAACTAAGAAGACTATTGGTTCTAAAACCAACTGTGCAAGGAAGATAAGATAAACCAAAAAACCAATGAGGTTTATCACAAAACTATTTTGTCTCTCCAAATAATAGAGGGATTTAGCAATGATTGTTTCATGTATACTTGGGTATACATGAAAAACATTACAGTGCAATAGCATATAAAAAGATAATATTATGGTTGTGAAAACAACCACCCACTGTTGAGAAGTAAATGACTAGGAAAGGCATTATGATTGTTCAAAATAGTGTTTATTTACTTATCCTTGGATTGTATGCTTTGAAATTTAAGTGATCATTCATAAACCTTAGCTGGCCCTAACATCGCTGCATACTTCGCAGTTTGAAGATCATCATGCATACCTAACCATGCCGTAGATGCGCAGGGACCTAGGCCTAACTTTGGTCGAAAAATCTCAATGTTTGCGGCCAGTATCCTTTACAGCATTAGCAAACCATTAAGGCAAAAAGTTTAATTTCCAATCAATTTGGTATAGTTTACTAGGAATTATGATATTTACAGCAATAAACAAGAGACAGCTGCGATAGCAGTCACCGTGTAAAACACTTGTTCATATTCGACACCCAAGTTAGGTCATGTGATGCCCATCGCTAAATCCCTCCATCAAAATATTTACCGTTCTTTCTGTTCCAATTTTATAAACCATTCTTCCACTTCTTTGGTGTTCATTTTATTAATGTAATACACATAAGCACATTCCTCAAATGTTAGCCCATATTTCTTCATAAATTTCTGAAAGTGAACAGATATATAAAGATATAAAAGTTCTTATTTAGGGTTAAGAGCTGCCCCATCAGAAGGGAATTTCTACATCACCTCAGCCAGAGCATTATTATGGCATGTCCATGTGGATGGAAACCTACACCTTAAAACACTGATCAAAAGGTAGCATAGTCCAGCCTACCAAATGCTGATACAGATGCAATTAAATGCATGTGTTAGACGAGGGAATGTGAATGAGGTGTAAACACGGCATCAGGAAGGAGAAAGCTACTAAGGTGATTGCAAACATGCCATTGGGAAGGTGAAGACTAATAAACAGGGCAATTGGGAGTGGCTAATGATTATGGAAAAGTGAGAATGGCAAAGAGACAAACTTAACTCAATTGGTCCTATGGGAAATTAAAGCAGAGCCTCTGGAACACACAAGAAGGAAATCATTCTACGTCATAATACCATGTGATACTATTCCGTAGCTGTCAGTAACCAAAAAGGCGCTCCACCGGATCCATTGTCTCCACTGACCAACCTTTGATCCTAATTTCTAACGTAATTATTATGTTAATGTTCACTTTTAATATCAAAGTTAATTATTATTATAAAATATAAGTTTGATAAACTAATATATGGTGAGCTTTTGTGTTTTTAGTACATTTCGATGGTAAATTATTAGGTTTTAAAAATCCTATTCTATATTATTAAGATTATGAGGTCTTTTAAGAATTTTTTTTATTAATTTAATTGTTCTTTATACTGGCTTTCCTCTTCAGTAACAAATTACTGTTCTCCCAGAGGGCCCAGTACATATAAAACAGTCCACGACAGGGGTCGAGTGAACCAATACACATGAGCATTTGTATACACTGGGCCTACGGTTTATAGTCCTTATCCTAGAAGACTTGTTCCACCACCAGAACAATAGAAGCGAGCTGGCCGCAAACCTGTGCAGATATTGTTGGCTATGATCACATTGCCCCTGCCCTCACTGCTCGGCCATTTGGCTCGCACAAATTTAGGTCATTTGGGTATAACGAATGCTTGACCAACATCTGGTTGACAACAAATAGTGCCACCTTGCATGGTGCCACCATTGGTACTCTATACAAGAAAAGTAACATGAGTTGTACCTGCACGTCCCTTGAAATCTTTTCAACATCAAAATCTTCATCTGAGCTTTCGTCGTTTACCATCTCTGTTTCTGCTTCTACGTTTTCAGTTGGTATTCCAGATGTCTGTGTTTCTTCTTGTTGAGTTGTTTTCATTTGTGTCTCTATGTTTGATTTGCCAGTTATACTTCCAGTGGAGGATTCTAAAGAAACATTGATTATAAATTGATTTTTGATAATGGTAAATATAAAAACAAAATCAAATAATAAATGTGTGAAAATAATAAATAAATAAAAGGGAACCGTAATAAGTCAATCAATAATAAACTTGAAACACCGCTATTCATCAAGTAGTGCTGTTTATTTAAATTTTTGTTGAACTTTATAAATGCTGTTGTCTATATACATGTTCAGTTTTTATTCTTTTAAATTTAAGTGAGTCAAAAGGTCCCTACCACCGCTTTTGAATTTAGATAGATAGATAGATAGATAAATAGATAGCTATATAGATAGATAGATAGATAGATAGATAGATAGATAGACAGATAGAAAAATAGAGCTAGCTAAAGCTAAACATTACGTTAATATGATGTTCTCACCATCTGAGCTGAGTTGTATCCTCGGCCTTCTTTTATGTACAGGTGTCCATGTTCTGTCCTCATCTGTATCTGTGTCAACACCTACTTGCATATTTTGGGGTGAAGGTTCTTCATTTTCTCCAGCCTTTGTTGCCATGGACTCAGATGAAGACCTTTTTCTTGCCAGTCTATGATTTTTTACAATTTCTTTAAATTCAGGCAACCTGTCCTTCAGCTTTTTCAAATATCTATCCTTCATGGACTGCCATGTATGGATTGTTATCTAAAAATAACGGACATAAATTTCTATTACTAAAACTGACAATATAATGAAGTTTCCACATATAATTAGGCATTTTAAACCTTTTGGAGTGGTTGGCGCGACAGTTTTGTTTTGGTCTCTCAACCTCAAGGTTGGGGTTCGATCCTTCTCTGTACATTTTGTGTGTCTTGGGACAAGAAGGCACTTTACCTATGTTGGTCTCTCTCCATCCAGAAGTATAAATGGGTACCAGATGGTTCACTACTGGGGAGGAAAAATGTGATATGGAAAGGAACTGGCCACCCTACCACAATGCCAAGGCTGATGGGCTAACAGTTCATTCTGCTATGTTCAGTATGAATACGGGACTACCTTTACTTTCTGAAGGCTGGATTGGATTGGATTGGATTTATTCGGTGTAAACACCAAGGATAGCCCACGAAAATCTAGAAGAAGACTTATTTCCAGTGGGGTCCTTCTGGTGGAGATTGGGCAGTACCCTGGGAGAAAATCCCCTACTCTTTTCCAAAGAGTGTACTGCGTTCTTTAACGTGCACATGGGCTATAAATGCACATGGGACCAACGGCTTAAACGTCTCATCCGAAAAACGGTGCGCTATTATAACTTGTATTTCAGCCCTCCAGCTGAAACAGAAGGAGAGGCAGCGATGGGAATTGAACCAGGGACCTAGAGATCTCCACGGTTCAGCGCACACACAGCGGCTACCGCCAGATTAACCGACTGAGTTAAGCTCCTCTCCACAAGGCATGATTTATGTGACTGATGTTAACATTAACTGATAACAAAAGAGTGAACATTTACTGGCAACATACATAGACAACATAGCAACATAAATAGAACAATGAATTTGGGAAAAAAACATTCATATGCCACTCAATTAAGCTGAGGAATAATCTGCACCCAAATAATTTGATTTAATATAAAACTTTTTCTTCTTGCTTCTCGTGTTTACCAATTTTCATTGGTTTTTGTATGTAATTTCCTAATACAGTATTATATTTTAAACATTTTTTAACTGGATCTTAATGAAGAACAATGTCAAATTGATTAAGCATCCAGAATGAAGAAAAGATTTTTAACATTCACAAGCAACAAAAGCATCATTCACTGACAACAAAATCATCATTCATTGACAACATTCACTGACAACAAAAGCAACATTCATTGACAACAAAAGCATCATTCACTGACAACAAAAGCATCTTTCACTGACAACACAAGCATCATTCACTGACAACAAAAGCATCATTCATTGACAACAAAAGTATCTTTCACTGACAACAAAAGCATCATTTACTGACAACAAAAGCATCATTCACTGACAACTTGGCAACATTCACAGACAACAAAAGCATCATTCACTGACAACTGGGGCAACATTCACTGACAACACTGGCAACATTCACTGAAAGCAGAGGCAACATTCACTCACAACAAAAGCATCTTTCACAGACAACAAAAGCATCATTCACAGGCAACAAAAGCATCATTTACAGGAAACAAAAACATCATTCACGGACAACATAGGCAACATTCAACAAAAAATATGTAGTCTATAAATTTATTACACTTCACATTACTTTGCATTTTTATAAATCAAAAACATAAAATATATTAAAGTTAACCTTTGTGTCTTCCATCTGTTTCCAAATGCGATTCCCACCGACAAGCAATCCTTGATGTTCTGCAACGTACATCAATATCACGTTGTCTTCTTCAACAGTGTATGCATTTCGCCTGTAATATAAATAAACGAGTAAATGGCCAAAATGAACCATTGACCTTACTATGCAGTAGTTCTATGTCCAAAGTCAACCTCTTGAGCATTTTGAGAGTGCATGCAGTCACTGTAATCTTTAGCAACAGCTTTTCATTATAATTATATATTTCACCACACAATCTTTTTTATATTCATACTATCCAATTACATAACATTCAACTATTGTACAGCTCTTTTTTTTGCAACTCTATATTTTTGCGATTTCACCATTTGAAATATTTTGCGTCCTTTTATTTTCATGATTTTACGATTTCCAGTTATCTTTTTTAACATGATACAGAAACCTACCATCATGTTCTTTTAGCCTACAGTATATTATAGCTAGAGGTCTCGATATTCTAGCAAACCTATACCGTCTCCTGATTTTTAGCCTAGCTACCTTAGGTAGGCCTTCAGCAACTCCAGCCTGTCAACTAAATCGATAGTTCACATTTGTGACACTCGCACGATAGGCAGAACATTCGTAACAAAGAAGAAATAACATTAATTAGCAAATACTGTAATGAGAATTCTGTATTGTAGAAGAAATACAATGCTGTGATTTTGTATTTTTAAGTAGGCATAGGCTTAGCTAGGAAAATAGACCTCCATTGGTACTAGGCCTACTCTGTCTGCCTGCGTGACGTATGATTCAAACATGATGTACTAGAACAGCTGAGGGTAGCTTAACATTTTCAGAATAAGAATATGATGTTGATCTTTTATATAACACTGTATTTAACTTTTAAAATACAGTAAGTAAAGTTTATTTATTTCAGTTGCATCCTTACAATCAGGCAAGCCACAGCAGGCTCATGAGAGACTTAATCTAAACATAAACATTAAAAGTTCAGAGCAAAAGGTATGAAATGGATTTTTTTCAAATAATGATTTAACCTTAAAAACTCAATGCTTAACATTTCAGTTACAAAGAAAGTTTGACTATTTATATATTTTAGAGAAATTCTACTATCATTCAGGTTGTTAAGGTACAAAATAAATCTTGCAATGCATGTAGCCAGGTTTATGAAAGGAGGATCCCACCCCAAGTCCATGAAGAAGCAAGACCGTTTCCATGAATTCCTTCTTTATCGAAGGAATATCAATTCTATGTTAGCTAGACCTATAGACTTGTTTTTGAAGATAAAACTTATAATCCAGAATTTCACGATTTTCATGCAGCCTCAATTTTTGTGATCTTTGTCTATCGTAAAAATTAAGGGCACACGAAAATAAAGATAATACAGTATGGAGATTTGCCAAAGGTCAGCGAGAGAGTTGTAGCATGGTACATGAAGCTAGCTGGTCAACTGTAAAGACACCACAAACTTATAGTCAGTAAGCTTGTTTTATTGGAGCCAACATACGGACATTGGTCAAGAGGACTATTAGCACTGTGAAACTTGCTAAATTGCATGGTGCATCAAGTTGGTCTTAAATTTATATAGCACAAAATACAAACAGTCTATGCCCTGTAAACACAAGTGTGGAAATGTTTGGAAATGTGAAAGAACAAAAAAATAAAGATGAAAGTTCCAAGCCAAGCCAGCACCCAAACCAAAGTATGGGGATATGCCCTCATCGCTAACAAGGGATTGATATAATTAAACTCTGGTCAGCATCTGTTGAGTCTCGGCCATCTCGGACTCAGGCGCGCTCCTATCCTAATTAATGCTAATAAATCTCACTGGTATGGAAATAAAACAGTGAAGTACAAGGGCCAAAGTAAATTTTTGATTTAACAGCGAGGGCCGCACCAAAACTTTGATGCTTCCAGTGAGCTTTCAAACACTTCCAAGCACTGCTTTTAAACCACTTTATTCTCAGTTTTACTGTTATGTTTTATTGTAGAAGTGGTAAAGAGCAGTGGATTGAGATGGATGGGTCATGTGCTGAGAAGGGAAGATGATGAACTTGTGAAAAGAGCATGGTATCTGGAAGTGGATGGTATACTGTAAGAGGAAGACCAAAGCTTACATGAAAAGATATGGTGAAGAAAGAAAGCTGTAAAATTTGGTCTAAATGAGGAGGATGCTCAAGATAAGAAAAAGTAGAACATGGGAGTGTCATCATGGAGTGAAAGTCAGTAACCTTTCCTATGAGGGAAAATGCTGATGTAAATGATGATTTTTTTCTAGCTAATGTTGCTTGGCGAGCCAAACACATGAGGTTTTTAATTCATTTTGCGGGCTGCAAAAAATCGCTGTCGGACCGCATGCGGCCCATGGGCCACACTTTGGCCACCTGTGCTGTAAATGGTGACTTTGGTCACTGTTGGGCCACGCGTGAATAAAATTCGCTCCCGATCTGGATACTAAGGTTGAAAGTGTGAACTTTTAAATCACAAGAAAAGCGAAACATTTCAACTAAAATTAGTTTTAAGATGCAGTTACCAAGAATTCTTCAATGCCCTAAAAAACAATACAGAAAAATATTAAAGCCCCATTCCCAGCAAAATACAGACTATTTCTCATAGATTACCATTTCCTCGACGAATTCTTTATACCACATTACAATAAAATCAAGAGAAAACACATACAGATATAAAAGAGAAAAAATTAATTGAATGCCTGGATAATCCATTAAGTCTTGTGTTAGTACACCAGACTTATTTCCAATGGGGTCCAAAAACTAGGTACTAGGCAAATTCAGAGGTTGCAGATGAAAGTGCACCAGTTTACTGGCTGCAGAGGACATGAAGTGACCCTCACGGGAGGAGAAAGTTATTGAGAAGTGCAACATCTAGTCCCGAGCGCATAGACCTCATTTATTTGCGCTATATAAATCCATCTATTATTATTATTATTACTATGTATGTATACTTTATACAGTCAATAAAGTGCACCCTCTCAAAATTTCAACTTACTTATAGTCCTTCAAATCCAATAGACATCCCTGTTTGATACAATCTCTAATGTATCTTGAGTCGTAGCATTCATCACTAAAGCAAATATCTGTAGTTAAGTATAACCTACATTGAAAAAAAAAAAACAAAGAAAACATATCATTAAGGCCAACTCAGACAGCTTCGGCCGACGCAGCCCTACCCGATTTATCGTCGGGGACAGTCTTAAGCCGTCGTGAGAAATATTAAACACGTTTAATATTCTACTACGCGACTGCCCCCGACGCACACCATCGCGTCTGCGTTCAACTCACACAGACCCGACGCGACAACAAATCGCGTCGGGCTGCGTCGGCCGACGCTGTCTGAGTTGGCCTTTATAGTGCTTTTGGCAAATGTGACCCAAGATCATAAAAGGGCTGTAAACTCGCACCGTGCTGTATTGAATAGCCACAATTGGCTGTAGAACATGAATTTTGAGAGAATTGGTTTTTTGTGTAATCAAAATAAAATATAACTATTATTCTAATCATTCTAAAGTTTGAGATAATTTCGAATGGGAGTTTGCGAAAAATGAATAGAAACCTGCCGAAATCAAAGGCATTTTTCTCAAAACATGATTTAAGAAAGTTTATAAGATGACAATTTTTAAAACTGTCAAAAGTTTGCTTCCAGACACCTGATTGAATTTATTTAACTGTCATTTTAAAGTAAATGTTCTATGCCATCATAACAAAAACTCAGTTTTGTCTGAGGACGAGTTTACATCCCTTTTATGATCTTGGGTCACAAATTAAATTAATTCTGTTGTAAATAGGCTGTCCTATTGATTCGCAACCAGCGCCAACCTTGTTTTCATTTTCATTTAATTTATTCTGTCCAATAGAAAACACCTGACATGAAAGCGAATCACTGGCAGATCCAGAAATTCTTAATAGATGGGGGCGGGGCAGAGGAGGAGGGATTTCTACAGATAAGAGGACCCACCCACCTTAGCTCCACCACTCTCTCCCCTCCCACCCTGTGAATCTGCCACTCCATGTGGCACTTTAAATGTACTGGCCTTTACCCTGGTCAAAAATATAGGTAGAGACAGAGCCTTTGAAATCCATGTAAAAATCTAAAAAAATGGTGTTACTACAGCAATTTAGCTTACCTGATGGTGTCCGGTTGAATTTTGGAAGTTACAGCTCCACCACCATACTAGAAATTATGATAAATGAGTTACAAAATATAAAAATTACATTTTTTTTTTGTATTTTCAAACATTTGATTTCTAGTGACATTTCTAAATATTAATTTTCAATTTAACAGATGAGTTGATAAATTTATATACAATAAAATACTGCAGGACAAATTCAAAACAAAAGAGCAAGGTAGTTATACCTGTACACAATCGTCTTTTTTACTCAAAATGTTTATAATTATTTTGAAACATTGATATTATTTTAAAATGTTCCAATATAAAAATTACAACTTTACGAATTCTTTTATCTGTTAACATTCAAACTCCAATTCTTACAATTATGAATGAGTTGGGATGGAAAAGATTGGTGGAAAGATGGAATGAAAATCTTCTATTATTAACTTTCAAATGTCTTAAAGAAAAGGCTCCTTCTTATTTGTGTAATAAATTTATCTTCAACAACAATAATCACCCTCAATGATACTAGGAATAAGTCTAACTAGAAATTGCAAATTGCAAGTGAAGTGCTGCGAAGTACAACTGCATATAAATGCTCTTCGAACAAAATTATTTATGCGAGTCAAGTGAAAATAATGAATAATAAAAATATAAGAAATATTATGAGACACAACCCATTGTCTATATTAGAACACTTCTCATTGGGTAACAAAGTCGTAATTTTTCATTTTTGTCAAAAAGTGTCTATAGTGGTGAATTATTGCTTAGGTTTTACCTAATACCTCGCACAACTCGTTACTCGCGTTGTGCGAGGTATCAGCTGAGATTTGTGGAGTACAATTCAAAAAACAACTATACTGTAGGTCTAATAATGAATTATTGTGATGTTAAATAGACAATGTTAGCTATCAAGGAGTTTTTCATTGGGACCTTCGTTGTTTTTCATTGGGACCTTCGTACCTTCAAGGCTAGGCCTATACCATCCTAGCTAGTCTAGGCCTAGAGTAGGATAAGGCTAGCGCAACAAGCTGACGTTGGTACGTGTTAGTTAGTCTACAAACTTCGCCTAAAGTAATTGATTTTACCCGGCAGAACGAAAGAAGGAAACTCCGCTTTTCAGTAGTCTTAGGCCCTTGTTTTTTGACAAACAATGACCTTTCAGAGGTCAAATTGCTGTCAAGAATATGAATTGGCTGCTTCGCAGCAATAACAACTTGATTGAACAAAAATGGAATCGGGTACAAGGCAAAGGACATTTTTATATCGTGCAACTAAAGCATGGAACAGCCTTCCAAATGAAATTAAAACAATATTTAATGAACTTTCCCTAGTCTTTTAAAAATCATTTAAACAATATATAATTTTAACTCTATTTACTCTCTTCTTGACAAAATATGGTATCAAAATTTTACTGATTTTCCTTTTTGCCTCTTCCTCTTCCCTTTTTGTTGTTAGTTTTAAGCTTTTTCGATGCTGTAATTTTATATTTACAGTATGTACAATTTGTTTTTTCTTATACTCATCAGTTTTTGTTTTAAGTTTTATTTATTTTTTTCATTTTGGTTTCTCTTTTATTCTTTTTACTTACATGTGATCCACTTGTGATACCAGTGCTACGTCACTAAAGGTGTTATCACACAAAAAACAGAAGTAAGTAAATAAATCGGCTGATTATAAAACAACAAACTACTGGAAATGTGTGTATACTTCTGGCTAACTGATATGAACGAATGTATTACTATAAGAAAATCTCATATTTCTGCGTCAAATTTTTAACAATCAGTTCAGTTTAAGTTTAATAAATTCTGATACAATAAAATAGCATACTTTAGTGAGAGTAAGAGTATATTAATTTATTAATCAATCAATAATTATGGTGAATACAGTCGGTATTGAGCTAAAAATATTCACAGCGGCTGGAGATATGCTACCGTACAGTATTTCTACTTCCATTTGCTAAATATATTTTAAATAGCATTATATCACCATCACCCAAAGTGCCAGAATGTGCGTGTGAAAATACTGGCCTTGCAGATCACCCCCGATGGGCAGTGAAAAACGAACTACTGTATGTACTGGATGTTATTAGAACAAGAATAACTAGGTAAAACTACAATACTGTACTTAGTCCTGTCATCGATAAATAGGCGTATGTTTCCACTCTGTAAGACTAAGAGTCATGTCATTTATATTATATAATATAGCCATATCAAACAAGGACAGAATCATGTATCAAATTCTTGGCATAGGCCTCTAGGTCTTGGTTAGATTCTTCACTTGGCGGCGGTCTACACAGGGAACAAGTTCGCCAGTATTGCATCGCAAATCCCTACACAAAATAAAAGAATTTCTACACAAATAATTTACTGAACTGAATCGCGCAAGTTCGCAATACAAAGTTTAACAACAAAAGAAACATTGCAAAAGTGACTAGAAATACATTTTCTTTAAAAAATGGAACTTTTGAATCGATCCCTAAACTAGTATGCTGTCACTTGTGTGCATAGTACTTATTCATCTGGGTTCACTTTGTTGACTATGATTTTCTGTGGAGTACTCTATTATTTTCATTCGACTGGTTCGTAATTAGATTTCGTTGACAATAAAAATTAACATAAGCTAGAGTGCATTATTCAGCATCTAAGTTATCCACATGACCAAAACAAACATAGCCAATTTAGCAACAACATTTGAGTTAATTTACACACATGAAGTTGAAAAGTAAATTGTAGGCAAACAGTTCAAAACAGGATGAAAATATTTTTAATGCATGCAACATAGTTTTTAATGACGATCCGTTCAGACTCCCACCGACAATCAGCAGATGGTGTCGCCTCATCTATCACTCATTCGAGAAATCAATTATCAATTCAATTTCAACAGGATAAAAAAAAACAATGCAATTTAGTGACTTCAAATACATTTTCTTTAAAAAAAACTATAAAATTAAACCAGTTTTTATACAATATCAACTATATTTTTGCCAAATAAAAATAGTCCTTCCTCACAGATAAAAAAAACCCCCTGAAATAATCTATTGTTCTGATCAACAACAAAAAAAGAAAAAAAGGAAAAAAAAAAAACCATCCGAATTCATCGATGAAAAAAAAATTAATAATTATGTATGTATTTATAACATATTAAAACAGAATGTATCAAAAAAAGAAACAAAGGAAACAAGAAAATACAAACCTCATGTCTGCTTCAAGCACCTAAAGACAGTAACGTGGGAATCTTTGTGGGAACGTTCCTCTCTAGAAATTATACTTCAGTTTATATATTTTTATTTATTTATATGTATTATGATTAGAAAAATATGGTAAATGAACATAACAAACAAGAAAACAAACATATGACAAACTATCTAGTGACTATACTTTTTTCATAAATGCTTAAATTAATTTAAGCATTTATGAACATGCAATCAAAATATATACTGCAACAGACGCAAGCTTGTATGTAACTTGTAAGGAGGATGGGGGGGGGGGGGGCCAGACTCCAAGCCATGGGGCGAGTTTGCTAGGGGGCGAGTTGACTGGTTCTCCCTGCGGATGATGGATCTACCTGATCCAAATGTTGAAGGTAAGGCCTGCCTCCTAGACATTCCCTAGGCCTACCCCATAAGCTAGGCACTAGGGGCCTAGGCCTAGGTACAGGGCATCAGGAGGCCTACTATACTAGGCTAGCTAGGGCGGCCTAGTTAGAGGCTAGTGCCTAGGCCAGGTAGGCTAGGCCTAGAGAAAATTATTTGATTCTCAAAAACACCCCATCTTACTGTACCTCTATCAAGCGTCTTAGCTCAACTCTTTGCTCACATGGCCTCATATAAAAGTTCAGTGGTGCGCCATTCTCTTTCGTAAATAAAACCTCTGAATGACTGAACTCGCTCGAACTCCCTTCCATCTTATTTTTGTGTTTGGCGGCGCATGATGAAAAATGACAATAATATGCAGAGAGGGCGCTAACTTTACATCAGTAAACAGCAGTAACAAACAACCATCAAACAACAGAGCTCTAGAGCCGAAGATAGAGAGAGCTGAGTTTGGCCAACTCTGTTTCACGGGATTCGATATACGTGCGTGTGATTGGGTGGATCGCAATCACATGACTTACACCGGCCACGTTATCACCAAAACAAAACATTAAAGATAATACACGCGCATGCGCCTGGGCTGTTTGTTAACGACATGGCGTCCATGCGCCAAGTTGGCCAAACTCTCTCTATAGT